GCCTGCTTCTCCCTCTCCCACTCCCCTGCTTGTGTTCCCTCTCTCGCTGTCAAATAAATAAAATCTTAAAAAAAAAAAAAAAGAAGAAAAAAAATAAAGGTATGAGTCACTTTTTTGTATCTAACTCTCTAACAAACTTTGGTAGTATTAAACACGGTCAACCTAATTTTCACTAAAGAAATTGACTTCGATTGCCCCAAAATAACATGCCTACTCCCTTTTTCCCCCTATTTACATTGAGTGGACTGCCAAAGACATGTTCCTGATAGAGAATTCCTCCTAATGGAGAGAGGAAATGTGTTTGTTTCTAAGAGATGGTTGAGACCATAGTGTTAAAACAATAACTTAAACACGTGTGGGCCATTTGCATTGTACAAAGTTTCTGGTCAGTAAGAATTCCCTAATCTTGGAATATTTAAGCAGTGAGAAAGGGGAGGGGGCCATTGAGTTTAACCACATTTCCCAACCACATTTCTCCCTGCTGAGCAGGAAGCCTTCAGCTGGCTCCATCCCAGGACCCTGAGATCAGGACCTGAGCCAATATATCTGGATAGAGAGTAGGTGAACACTAGGATTGGAGAAAGGGCTAATTCCTTTCTGGGGTCATGAGGGCATATGTTATGATCTAGGTTTTTCAATCAAGTAAAAAATCATGAAGGATCACTTTTGATGTAATGTTTTCTCTCTTATTTGTTCAGGAGCTTCTATAGATTTTTAACAAATGTTCTCAACAGGATAGCACATGTTTTCTGGGTTTATTTTCCTATGCATATATAACTTTTTTTTTTACAAAAATAGAGCGAGTAGATTGATTTTATGATAAGTGATCACTAAAAAATCATGTTATCTATGAATCTAAATAAAATTAGTAACTGAAGGTAAAAACTAAAGAAAATATTAGAGAAAAGTATAAATGTTAATATACTTCCATGTTCTAAATCTCAATGAATACAATTTAAAGATTCGTTATAACTGAAAAAGTGAAGACCTGATAATACACTTCATTTGCGGGGTAATAAATTTTTTTATTTGTGTGGAGAGGAATGCATAACCAAGGAGTAATTTAAACAATGCAATCCCACCAGTTTAAAAACAGTGTTCAGGGGCGCCTGGGTGGCTCAGTCGTTGGGTGTCTGCCTTCGGCTCAGGTCATGATCCCAGAGTCCTGGGTTCAAGCCCCACATGGGACTCCCTCCTCAATGGGAAGCCTGCTTCTCCCTCTCCCACTCCCCCTGCTTGTGTTCCTGCTCTCACTATCTCTCTGTCAAATAAATAAATAATTAAAAAAAAAAATTAAATAAATAAAAATAAAAACAGTGTTCAGTATGTCTTTGGCTTAACAAATCAGTGGATACATGTGACAGAAGGGAATTACTACAAAGCTTTCCTAGTGGAAGTTTGTTTCTCAAGAGAGAAATCTTTTTAATTTTAATACCCAAAGGCTATTAAATAGCAGTATTAAATATGGCCAATCTAATTTGCTAGAACATAAAACAGTAACTATAAAATAAACAGTTTATAGTTAACAGTATGATAGCACAAATTATTATGTGGATTTTCATAACTGAATTATCACCTATGTCAGATTGAATCATTCATACATTATGAAGAGGAAAGAGTGGAAGCAAAGCTCTTCTATCATAATCTTTCTTTTCCAAAATAAAGAGAAGATAAAGAAGTATAAACAGACACTCCCTGACTGATCTCATTTGGTCTAGGAACTCAAATTTCCTTTGTTTTGGCATGAGCTATTAATTTTCAGAATTTGCATACAGCAAGATACCCAGTTCCTCTGAATGTCATTTACTGTGCTGGAGCTGAGTGTCTGATGGTTCCCAAAGAGGCTGATCACCGGCCTCAATAAGGTGAGCACCACTGGCTTTCTTGATGTTCTTCCAGTTCACATGCCAACCAGTATCTTGAAAGTAGCTAATTTAGTAATTCTGAGTGCTCTTCATTCTCTGATGCCTTGGACAGGAAGTCCAATTTGAATTTTGGCAATTTGGAATTGTTGGAAACACCCAAGTGTGCTATTAGTGTGACTTAATTTTCAAAGCCCTGAATCGGAAGCCAGGAAACAGGGTCTAGAGTACATATGATAAGTGGGTCTCTAAATATCTTTCAGTTCTCTAGAAATTTGGCTATGACCACTATAGAACAAGATGAGAACAATATTCTAAAATGAGATGGTTATCTGAAAATTCATCCAATGCAGTTCCCTGCATATTGTTTTTTCTCTAGTGAGAAATTTGAGCTCAACCTCATCTTCAGGACACCTGCCACACCCCTCCGACTCACGGCCACTCTCCTTGTGCAGACCCCATCCTCTGGCTCATCTCTCATGTGAGTCACTCACTACAGTTACCATACTAACTGGCCTCCCTGCTCCCACTCTTGCCCCACTCCGACCTACTCTCTATAATGCAACCAGAGGGGAACTTTGAAAAATGTAAAGGTGAGCCTGCTAATTCTTTCTCTTTGAAGTCCTTGAATTTGCATACTATTGTTCAAAATCTTGAACAGGATGTGCATGCCTGGCCCCTGCCTTCCCCTCTCACCGCTGTGCCCAGTGCCTCTCTGCTGTTCAGCTTCTTGGACCCAGACCACCAGTGTTCAAATCGAAGTGCCATCATTTACACTCTGTGCAACCTTGAATAAGTTACTTCATCATTTTCAGTTATTTCTCCCACCTGTTATAATAAAATGCTCTAAAGTGCTTAAAGTAGTGCCAGCTACTTAGTAAATGCTCAGTAAGTGTTGCATATTATATGGGTAATGCCACTTTTTAAACTCCAGAGCCTTCATACATGTAGTTTCTGTTTTGAACACCCGCCCCGCCATGGTCATCCCCTCATATGAACCTACACAGCTTAAATCTCACTTCTTCAAGGAAGAAAGTCTTCTGTGGCCCTCCCCCCTCAAGCACACCTCCTGACCCACCTGTTAATTCAGGCTCAGTGTATCAGGGGGCACATATGACTGGAGAGCGTAATCATTGTGAAACTCCCCAAGGAAAGCTTGTTTCACAAGAGAGAAACATTTTTAAGTTTTAATATCTAAAGGCTCCAGCAGTATTAAATTTGGCCAATCTTAGTTCGCTAAACCATAAAACAGTAACTATAAAAGAACCAGCTTATAGATATTCTGGGACGCCTTTGTCACACCCTATAATTCTCCTTCCTCGTGTTATCTTAATTGCTACCAGATCATTGATCTTGTGATGATTTATATATACGTAACTATATAATAAGAGCAATGAGACTATTAAAAAGGAGATAAAGAGGGCAAAGGGCCTTTTCACTGCAAAACGGGCAGTGGAGATTAGAGATCATCAGAAGTGGCAGTGGGTGCAAAAGTCTCTCTACCAAACTGAGTATTCAGAAGTTGAAAGAAGAGACCATCAAAATTGGCATGCGTGATGGGTGTTAGTTGAACCTATGGTGGGAATCAATTCACGATATACCTAAATCAAACCATCATGTTTTACGCCTTAAACTATACATGACACAATTATTTCTCAATGAAACTGGAAAAAAAAATTGGCAAGGGTGAAATTAGATCACTATCCAGGCCACCAGTGCCCCACGTGCCATGTTGTTGCCATTTAGCTAGGATCCTGTCTAGGCGGGGGCTCATCTGCGTAATGGGTGGCTGAGATGGTATCCCTAAAGTGATATACCCAGGTTTTTGCGGCCAGCCCCATACCAGAGGTCCTGAGATCCTGGTTGTTTTCTCTTCTTTTGGCAGCAGTTGGCACCCCAGAAGTGCATACAAAAATAACTAGTCATACCGAAATGGATATACTACTAAGGCTTTCTGTACAAGCTATATTCACACAAGTGTGATCAGTGTAAAATCACGGGCTGTGTCACACATGTTTTGTCAGCTTTTATGATATTTGCAACATTTTCAAAAATCTGGGAAATTTATATGCAACTAATGAATCATTGAACCAAAAACTAATGATGTACTAAATGTTGGCTAATTGAATTTAAATTTAAAAAAAGGAAAAAAAATCTGGCAAATTAGAGGGAAATGACATTGTATTTATCATTTTAACTGAAATTGTTAGGACACCTTAACTCAATAGTCCTGTTTAAATGTCTAGAAAAGTCTTGAGTTTGTAAAGTCAAAGGTTTGATTCTCAATATGCTGAAAATGCCCAAGAAATTTGATATACTCTATGAATTTTAATTTGTTAGATTCATAAAAACATATAGGAAGTTCTTTTAAATTCGGTTTATAAATCTGTGTCTTTAGCTGTTTGTATTTCAAAATTATAAATGGGATTTAATAAAATTTTACGTGGTGATGTTCAGAAGTTCCTTATAAATGATATTAGCAAGAGAATTTGAGTGATCAAGTTTATAATTGCTGTTTAATATTCAGGAGATTTTCCTTTGTGCAATTTATAAATAGAAACATCCTCATCAAAAACTAGAAAGACTGCCATTGAAAAACCAGTCTCCTTTTCCACCCTTCCCACAGGCCGGCCCCTCTCTCAGAAGTATCTTCTTTTAAAAAGTACTTCTGGATTTAATTCTCCTGATGGCTAATTCTGTAACTCTAAATAGCTCTCTCTTTTTTTTTTCCCAGATAGTATTTGTTAACTCATCCATGAGACGGGCTGATTTAGTTTACTTATACTAATTTATCTCCCATTCCCCCATTAACAGTCAAAATTTAAGAAAGTAAAATTATTATTAGATTTCTATAGGTTGTAATTGTTCCTTTCAATAATGTACTCAAGCTGTCATTTCCTGTCTCATAAATTTTAGTATTGCTACTCTCTCCTAACCGTAAAATAGGAGATTTTACCCCTACCTATCTTAGTGAAGAGAAACTGTAGGGTATCCTATGAATATGCTGGTAAATACTTAACAACTGGCTCTTGGGGGGGGTGCGGAATTGAACACAGTATTTGCTGGTTTCCATTAACTCACCACATGATCTATTTCAAGCTACCAGCATGATGGCACTGAGTTGGGATTAGCGTCCGCACCAGCACACCACTGAATTAGGACCCAACGCTTCCTTCCACCTCTCCTCCCTCTTCCACCTCCTTTCTTCTGCCAGCTTTTTTCCTTGTTACAACGTTAAGACTGCTTATATTTACAATCTTCTCTGCCACTGTAACAAAATCGTTATGTTATTCATCCCTGATTATAAAAGTTAAAAGCCAATAAGTAACATTTATGAAATTTACTATTGTATACATATTGTTAGCCAAGAAGTGTGTTAGAGTTACATTTCCTTCTCTATAGGCTGATTTCATGGCCCCCTGAGTCATTTAAATAAAAATTTACCCTAATACCCTAACATAAGGGTCAAATGGACTCCTTTTTCTTGTCTTTATCAATGGCATAAAATTGTTCTACCTTCTTTATTTTTTTGGATCACAATTTTTACATACAGCCTTGATTTGGTTTCTCTAGTTTTCTTCTTTACAGTTGACTTAACTGATGGGCCTTCACCAGCTCCTCAGGTTTTTTCATCCTCTCAACCATACTTGCTTTTTCCTGGTGATCACCTACCTGAGCCCAGTCATCCGGCTCTTACGCATGGCACCGTGAACCCATTGGCTCACTAATGGCCGGCATTTCCTGTCATGGTTTTCCTTGGTTGGATGCGTTGTTTCCTGGATCCACGTCTTCTTCTTTTTTTTTTTTTTTTGATTTATCCATATTTTTCCTCTTCTTCCTCCCCTAGTAACTTTCTAGGAAGTGCTGTGTGGAAAGCATTTTCTGGGCCTACATGTTTGAAAATGTCTTTGTTGTGTTTTTGCATTTGGTTTAGTTTGTGTGGAGAATTGGAGGCTGAAAGTATTTTTTGCTTCAACCATTTTAGATGATTGTTCCATTCATGAGGATGTAGCTAGGTATATATATATTTTTTCCTTTTTTATACTGTATAGTCAATGAACTTTTTAATCAGAATCCCTGTGTCCTTTATTATTTCTTTGATATGATTTGCCTCTCAAGTTTCTCTGTTTTCTTTTTTGAGAGACATCTATTAGTTGGGTGCTGGACGTTGCATATTTGTCTTCTCTTTCATATTTGTCAGTTCTGTGTGTTTGCCCTATAACTTGAGACAGTTCCCCAAATTTATTTCTACTTGCTTGATTAATTCTTTGACAACCAAAAATTTAACCTTCCAGAGCAATTCTATATTCTAAGTTTGTTTTGTCAAAGACATTCTGCTCTTAGTAAATGGGTGTTAATAGCTTCTTTGATCTCCGAATGTATTTCACAAATTTATTTTCTATTTCCTCAATTATGTTTCTTATAGAGACGATTTTTTGTTTGTTCAAGTGAGATTTTACCTTTTATGCTTTTAGGTTTTTTTTTTTATGTGTTGTGTGATCTTAATGGTCCACCCATATTTTAGAAAGAAGGACTAAATTAATTATTCTTGGCATCTTGCTTGTAACCCCTCTGCTGTTGAGAGGGGAGGTGTCTTTTTGAAACAAGCTCTTCCTCTGAACAGGATGTCTGACTGGGAGCTCTGTGTATGTATAAGGGGAGCTGGCAGCTCTAGCCCATCCATCCCACAAATGCCATAAGGAAGAAAGCTTTACTCTGGGCTTCCTAACCAAATGGAAATCCTTAGCTCTCCTCTACTGTTTTAGTCAATTTACTTGGGGCGGGGCAAGAGCCTTTGGATTTTTGCCTTGGGTCATTGCCAGGCTTCTGGCAGACTTCTGAGAGCTCTGAACAGAGAAAAGGATGGTAGTAGATGGAGGGAAAATGGAATGGGGGTGTGTCTGACTGGCACAATTGTCCTAAGTCTAGACTTCAAATTAATTGCCCTATTTTCAGCCTCACGTCTCACTCCTGCACTGCACTTTTCATGCTGACAGTGAGCCCAGAGCCTGCCTAGGGATAGGGAAGATATTTCTACCTCTACCACAAGTCCCTTTTTATCTAACTGCATCTTCCTTAGTTTGTTTGTTTTCTACCAATATTTCTCCTTCTGGCTTGTCTTCTAGAATTCTGTGATGTATATTGCCCCTCCTCTTTATTTTCTTTCCTTTATGGGTTTATTTCTTTTAGCACTTCTGTTCCTTTATTAAGTGATTTCTGGGAAGAACAGGACTTGGATACATGTGCTCAGTCCACCATTTTGAACCTGAAGACCACGGAGCTCCCTTTGAATGCTTTTGTTTCCCTAAAGACACTGTGTTTTTATATTATCACCCATCCATCATGTACTGAAGAGCAAGATCCAAGCAAATGGCCAATATTTCCATCAAATTTCTGCTTTACTCTTGAAATGCATTATAGATCCTTACCCAAGAGGTGAATGTGGCTCAGAAAGATTAGCTCTTGAATCCAACAGAAAGCGTTTCTGTGTGATGTTCCTCCTATCTTTGACATTAAGTACAGGATAACCCATCTGTTTGGTCCACGTATCCATTACTTCTTTCACTGGTAGATTACTTGCCTGATATTTAAAAAACATGAGGAATAATTAACAAATTAGGTGAATAAAAAGATAGAAGAGTCAGATAAAGAAATGATTGATAAATCATTTGTTAATCAGACAAAGAAATACTTGGGGATATACTCCTTACCTCTTCAAGTGCTCCCCAAAAATCTTCAGTTTTTGCATTCTTGAATTTGTATTTTTCCAAGTAAGTCTGTACATGAAAGAGAACAAGTATTTTAGAAGTCAATGTATGGGGGCACCTGGGTGGCTCGGTCAGTTAAGCATCTGCCTTCGGCTCAGGTCATGATCTCAGGGTCCTGGGATCAAGCCCTGATTCGGGCTCCTTGCTCAGCGGGGGAGTCTGCTTGTCCCTCTCACTCTCCCTCTATGTTCACTCTCTCTCTTAAATAAATAAATTTTTTTTTTTAAATTTTAAAAAGAAGTCAATGTATGCTTTTCTCATACTTCCACAACATGAGCTGAACCCTTAGACATATCTCATTCTAATGTATAATATGGCAACTGTATAATATGGCAACATAATCTTAATGTATAATATGGCAATAATATGGCTAGAATAAAATAAAATGATACATTGTATACAAAATATTTTGTAACCCATAAAACATTGTACAAATAATTTATTTGTAAAGCACAATTGTTTTTCTTTATTAATTATATAGCTTGTTCTTTTTCATAGTCTAATGGAATTGTGGGCAGGAGAGGATAAGCTTAATTTTTTCAGGAGAAGAAGTATAAGATACGTAAGGGCATCCAAGTGTTCAGCCAACAGTCAGCAGTCCACAACATTTGTGATCCAGTATGACGAGAGATCCCTAATTCTATGATCTTCACTTAGTGGTGCTAACCTGTTAGTGCCAGCTACATCCCCTACCTTCATTTACAGGGGCGTTTTCTTATTTCAGACACTAGATGACCCATTACACATGAGCGATTGAGGCAACATGCAAAGATAAAACAGGTGAGCTTGGCTCTAAGCCAGGGCTCAGGAAACTTTTTCTGTAGAAAGCTGCATTGTAAAGATTTTCAGTTCGGGGGGCTCTCTAGTGTCTGTCGCATCTATTCAACTCTGCCTCCATAGAACAAAAGCATCTGTAGATAATATGTAAATGAATGACCATGGCTGTCTTCCAATAAAACATCATTTATGTGCTCTGATATTTGAATTTCATATAACTTTCACGTGTCATGAAATATTCTTCTTTTGATTTTTCAAGCATTCAAAATTGTAAAAGTGATTTTGTTTGCAGACCTTACAAAAATCGGTGGTGGGCCAGATTTGGCCCCAGGTCACAGTTAGTAGACCCCTGCTTTAAAGAAATGGATATATGATGTTTTGAATAATAAGAATGATGATCATGATCATGGATAAATTGGGGAAATTATTCTCTTTAAAGACTGTCTTCACTCTTCAATTATTTTTAAAATATGAATTTTTAAACTACAAGCCTCTCCCCTTTGGCAATTCTGTTCACAAAATCTCTGTATATGAGTTTTCAGATATAATGTGGTGTGTCCATAAAGAAAATTCCCAATTTTCTCCTACCCTCATAATTGTGGTTTCTCCAGGAAACCGTCCAAAGTTCCTGCCATATCATGACTTTGTTGCTGTGAGGAATTGTCCCATTTAAAATATGGACATCTTCGATAGAAATAAACCTTCTTAAGTGTTCCTTGAGCTTCAAAGAAAATAACCAATGGTTGACTTTGCACTTGACATTTTTACTCTAAGTTGCTATAATTTTCAAGAGGCAATGTGCGTAAGTCACATTATCTTCTAAATTCCTTTCATTTCAGGCACAGAGAGATAAAACAGGGTTAGCAGTAGTGCTCCGAGAAGCCTGGACGAGAGTTGAGACCAGTTTGGAATGCTGCCTTCGTATTTGTTCTTTTGATGAGGTCACTACTCAGCACTACCACTGGAGGGCAGGCAGAGGAAAGGAGAAGACATGAAAGGCACATACTCAATATTCAGTTTTAGGTATTTGTTCCAGAGCTTTGCACAAATCATTCATTCTAAATAAAATAATGGGGTACTTGGAATAGTAATGATTAATTATAACCATAGTTACCTGTTAATGACACTTTCTAGTGAGTAGTAGCATCTTAAAATTAATGTAGAGGAGTTTATTTGTATACTCACAGTGTCTTCAGCTTAGAACGTGCAATCTTGGAACTAGAGGGATTTTAAATATTATCTAACACAACTCTCACATTTTTAGGGGTATCAGAAACTGGTGCCCATAGAGGTGAAGAGAGTTTCCTGCAGTAACCTTGAAAGAATTCTGACTCCTGGACGCGTTTGTGCGGGTTTCAGTGGTGGTGTTATTATTATTGCTTTTTAAATAAACTGCAGTTTCTTGCTTCTCCTGAACTACAGGCTACATGGACATTTATATAAACAGTCTATTAAAAGACATCAATTTTATTTTGTCTAGATTAGTGCACTTCTGAATAGCCTATATTAAGAAATTTCTTTCTTGGGGCGCCTGGGTGGCTCAGTCGTTAAGCGTCTGCCTT